ATCGCACTGCTATTACAATAGTGTTGTTACTCAAAATATGTGAAATTTAATATTATATCATTACTGAACGTAAAACTTGATTCTCTATACTTCAAAACAACCGCCTTTGGAATATTGTGAGAAACAATCAAAAGACGTCTACTTAACTCAAAATGAGATACACTTTATGTGAGCTAGTTCTGGCCAAAATAATCCTTATTGAAAAACATGAAATTATTTTGGTAAATTGTTTAAGTGTCTATAATAAACTATATAACTACATGTAAATTTTAATGATTTTTTTGAAGTGAGTAATTCGTTTTTCATCGATTCTGAGAAAGTCCACTTTTTGAGTTACAACACTATTGTAATAGAAGTGCGATATATAGAAATTGTTCATCGACAAAATATTTTTTAACATTAGTAAAATGTAAGACTCTTCGTTCGTGTGTTGATAGTCTTATTAACACTGCGCACAGGCACAAATTTTTGTTTTACTCTTTATTTATTTAGGGATTTCATCTTTATTGAACATGTCCGCCTCATTAGCAAACAAAACCTCAAGAAAACACTTAATAAAATCCAGACAGATGAATCAAAATACTACCTAATAACCAAATATGTATACCAAATCTCCGTGACACTAGTGTTGGCTCCGCACAAAACAGATTGAAACCACCCTACATTAAATCTACAGAAAGCAGCCTGTACAAATAACCGCGCCCTTATAGGTTCCGTCAGAACCCACTCTATGAGCAAATGATGTACATCCTCAGGAATCCCACACACTTCGCAATTCGGTGAGTACACTGGAGGGGAAATCAAAAAATCAAGTACAAAAATTTGTTTAATGGAACGTGTCCGGATCGAAACCTTTTTCACTATAATTAACTATACTAACTCAAAAGGTTTAGTTCTTTATAGTTCTACGCACTATACCTGTATTGTCTAGTAGCTGTACAGTCTCCATGTTGATGATAAAGTCTACGTTCGAAAGCTTCAGCGTACTTTTTTATCACTTTATCTACGGGGTCTATATCTACATCGAGATGCAGATCCTCATTTCGTACATACCAAGGAGCACCCACTATTGTATGTGTTGTTTTGTCTGTATATAAATATCTATTACACATTTATGTATATTACATATATGTATGTGTAACGTCCATAAATGTGTGCCAGTAAATAATTGAATTTTGTCAGTACTCTGTTGATACTTCGCTATGGAGAAGCAGTGGGTAGCAGAAAGCACCTAAAAATTGCATTGTAAAGCCCGTAGTTGGTTTTTTGAGGTCCATATAACGAATCGAGGTACCCCGTACTATCATATTCTGATATTTAATTTTATGTTAACAACCGTTAAATATTATCGCACATCATATTGTTTCACAATGTAGTTTATGCATGCCAATAAGTATGTATAATCCCGACATACAAATGACTTTAACGTCTGGGGTTCTGTTCGCTGTAAGTAAGTTTCTATGTTCAATTGGCGCCTCTAGGTGCTTTGAGACCTTGTAAATATTTCTAGAGATTCAGAAATATCCATCATAAATAATCCGCTATGCTTGTATAAAATATTAATATCTAGGTACTGCATGTAACAAAGGTTATTTCAATATAGCACGAGAATTTGAGTTTTTTTTTTTATTATGTTTGGCAACCTCTAGGTGCAACTAATATATTAAGGTGACAATCCTACGCTCCAAACTGTACGTGTAAGCATTGACGCGTCGAACAGGCGGGAGTTGCATTACATATCTTATGATACTATGTAGAATGGTCGTGTTTGCTTATTTAAAAATAAAACTATAGAAGTGTTTGAATCCTCGATTACTATTACAACCGCCGTCGAAAAAAAATCACACTATCATAATGTTAAACACTATGAAATCTTGATAATTATTGGTCTAATTTCTAATTTCAAATTATATATAAAACTATGGACTGTTCATATAATTGAAACTTTACGCACTTGGCATATCGTTCAAAGTTCAATAGCTATTATTGCAATTACAACGTTTTGATTTTGTAATTATAAATAAATAAAATAAAATTTCTTTCGATGCGTTGCCATCTAGCGGCAATAGCTGAAAGATGACGAACTATTAACACTTATTAACGTTCTCCAAAAAAAAGTCGGTCATATTGCAACAGTATAAGGTTTACTTCCATATTTCTTATAACAAAATATCTATTACGATAAACAGAAAGTGGAAAATCAATTAAAAATGAATGAAGTAAGACTTAACCATAATATGAAACACCACCACTGATAATAAATAACATTGACAATTTTTTGCATTCCAAAGTAGCAAAATAAGGTTTTCTCCAAGATTTTAGAGGTTTTACGCGAGATAATTGACACGACCATAACGTACAAAGTGAAAATGATGGACTAAGCTCAAGTATGCGGAACTCCGCGTGCTTTTGGCACACGTACCACACCCACCAAGCACTTCTACTGTATTTATTGTTCTGTGTATTTGCAAGTGCAAACATACAAAGTTTGCTGTTCTGTTCTTGGTATAATTTACCACGTGGCCCTGAAATAGATGGCAAGTATTTGAATGGAAAAACCTTGTTATCGTTTATTTGCTTACAAATATTAATTACATTATTACACTACCGGATATTAGTATTTAAATAAAATTATCAATGATTTTTTTAATCAAGCCGTAATCGTAGATACCTTAGTATTACCTGAAGGTATTTATTAACAAATACTACGAGTGTAAGAAATTTTTTACTTGATTATAAATAAGCCAGCATGTTGTATGTAACAATAGTAATTATACATTATAGTATTAGGAAGTTCCAGAAATAAAGTCCAATTCCATGTTCCACCATCTTGCGGTTCAAATCTCGAGAGGCGGTGGTGTCCGACCAGCAACGGCAGAAGCGTAGTCAAACTTTGCGCGCTTCTGGTGCGGGTTTCCGCTGCTTAACGAACTATGAACGTACAATAATTATAACAAACTAACGGAGTAATTTCACATAAAAAAGTAATTGAATATCAATTCAATAAATATTCAACTATGAACATTTTGAAATTCCCCTAAAAGAAGCTACATAGCGTTGATCGATTTTACGCACTCATTTTATGTACGGCAGAAGAATCACAAGAGCAGATTGAATGCAGAAGAAATAAAGCCTTTCAGAAAAATATGTAACGTGCGTTTATGTGACAGATTGAGGAAATATTGTGGTCCGTGAACGGTGTGGTTTGAAAACAGGCAATATGACAAAAATACAGAAAGTTTGAGCTTGAGATAGTTTGGGGACATCTAGCGGATTGATCAGAAGTAGAGTAGCGAAAGTGACATTTGTACAGAGTCAACTTGAAAGGTAAGATTGATAGAAGACGGCCACGAAAATTATTTTAGATGTAATCCAGCATTCGGAAAAAGGCTGCAGTGCTTAGTGAAAAGAATAAGAGGGCTTATATAAATAATGATGAATGTAAATGATATAAGAGTTTTTCACGATCGTGCTCAGTAGCGATTGTTAGTCTCTGGCTACCCCAATGGGAACCCAAGGATGTAAGTATACATGTGTGAATAGCGATGTTGGTTTCCCCTCGAGTAAAGATTACTCCAACTGACTTTAGATTATGATAAATGATGATTATAGAGACGAAGATTCCACCGCCATGATGGAGATGTAACACATCATCACCGTCAGACAGTCACGCATATATGTATAATCTACAATCCTAAAATAAGTGAAAGGTCACTCTCCGCACTTCCCTTTAGATACCACACCGAGCCCCACATAATGTTGCAACATTGACGGAACAGCAACAAAGGCTGTCAGCGAGCCGTTTGCTAAGGACGACTTGATGTTTAAACAGTTTAAATTTATTTATTACGAACGTACATTATTATGATAGTTATGATGGTCATGAATTGCGCCATATACGGCTGTTTATCTTCATCTAAATGGGAAGAAAGTAGGACTTTCTTTCTTAAAAATACTTTTATTACATTTCGAATTATCGATACAATGGCGATTTCATAACATATTATTTAGAGATATGACATTTAAAAGAAAATATTTTAGTGTAAATAATATATAGTAATATACAATATTACACAGATTCGATTATCACAAAGTCACTGTGCGCGTTCAACCAGAGAATGAAATAGTACAAGAAAGTAATGGGCAACCCTACCGTTTCACGCACACATTTTTGCGTGCGCAGACAGCAGCTGTATGTAGTAGTAGGTTAATAAGTTTCTACTGTATAGAGTGTTCGGGGTGTGCTACAATATCCGCAGATTTTGTGAAGTAATGAAGACGTAACATATATAACAACGTCGTCAGTACCGCGGGATGCAACAGAAGATTAGGGCCAATCAATGTGGTGCCACTAAGGTTACGATTGATATATTTTTTTTACTTCTTATTAAGTTCTTGGTCTGCCTCGTCGTCGCTGGCCGTTCTCAAGCATCCAATTAATACCTGTGGGAGTCCATCTCGGTAGGTGCAAGGGACAGACGTGTCCAGCACAGTAAATTTCAGCTAGCTAGTCGTCTTTCCAATATTTTGACCTTGAAACCATTGAAAGTCAGATTAATTGTTATAGTGCAAGTAACGAAAGAGATAATCATCTTTATTATCTATTAAGAACAAGGCTAATGAAAGAAATACGTATACGCAATCATTTTAAGCCGTACATTAATCTAAATGAATTGTAATTGGTAAGTATAAATTACAAACTGCACGCAGTGATTTTTATATTGCATTGTTTTTATATGTACCGCTAGTCAAGTGGCGGTACTTTTTTATAATTTCCTGCTCTATTTTTATTAAATATGAAGTGGATCATCTTTGTCTGTCTCTTTGGACTAGCTATGTCTAAGCCTACATATGAGCCCATAAATTTATATTACCATGAGACGATAGGTAAGTACGAATAATTATGTATTTATTGAATGCTATCATAATTATACGTTAGCTACAACTCTTTTGTGGAGTCGAAGTTACAAAACTTCGAGCACCGCAGTAAACTGGCAAGACAGTCAGTCGGTATACTGTCGGCGTGTTGAAACTTATCCGGAATATTCCATTCGTATGTCATTGTTATACCATCCCTTCGCATGAAGCATTTTGCTAGCGTTCCTAATGCATACAGAAAAGGAATTGAGTACGCTACTAATCTATGTTCTCCCGAAAGCCACAAATTAGGGCTATTTAAGGCTGGAGTAGACAGCGCATACCATCGTCGTCGTCGGTCGTACCAGGTGAGATTGTGGACAATGCTTAACAAAACGAGAAAAAAATAAAAATAAGATTGTCAAAATGGAATTTGCGGGTAGCGCCGTCATTAATTCCGGTACTCTGGTACTGGAATAGTACGATAAGAGCTTCCTTCAATATACTTCTGCCGTTGAAGGTATCCCAACGAATGCAAGGCACAAACATTGGCAAGCCAAACTCGCTGTTCCTATTGATTTTATCACCCTGAAGTTCCTGAATCGTCTCAGAATAGAAGTTGGTTTGATATTGTGAAATGGGGATATACCAACCCGACTCAAAACCGCTGTGCTTGTCCTTGCTGCTCCTGCAAGCAGGAGCCACATACACTCATTATCATCATCAACCCATTTATACGTCTCATGCTATCCCAATTCGGGTTGGAGATTTCACACGTTTTCAATGTGAATCCTTCTTCGACGCACAGGTTTCATCACGATCTTTTTCTTCACCGAAAAGCTCATGGTAAATTTTAAATCAAATTTAGCACATATTTCCAAAAATACTCAACGGTGCGACCCATAAAGTATGGTTCACCGATTCTCATGACCACTGTGTCCGACCAGTTGCACCTGCAAAGATCTAGGCAATAGGCAAGGGCATAGAGGCGACTGCTTACCGGGTCAAAGAAATTTAACACCCATTTAGTATTTAACTGGTTTTTGTCATTGAATCAACAAGTAGAAGAAAAAGGTATTTCTCTAGTGTTAGACCAGGTGTAGTTGTTTGGCACATTATTATATTACAGAAGTAACAGTTCAATGTTATATTATCAGGTATTCCGAAGGCGACTGCGATTAAGAGGAGTGAAGAATCCTCTGATTTCAGTGGTAACAGAATCATTGGAGGGTCGGCAGCCGAGTTGATGCACGACCCTTGGTTTGTGAGTAGAATGTTTTTACATCACTTAATCACCATCTTTTTATTTCAGAAGTGAAGACGAAAAAAAAGCCTTTAATACCAACGATTTGGGTCTATTATTTATAAGCTGACTGTTTATTTAAACAAATGTACAAGGTTAGATCCGAAAAATGGTAATATTTCCAATCAATTGAGAAATAAAATGACTATACCTGTACTTCTATTCTACAGGATATATATATATATCACAAAGAGTATACGATGGACTTGCATGACTTAATTTCACCTTCCTTTTTCATCATTGGACTAGGCCTTTATGTTCTGGATATTCCAAGGATTCGTACTAAGCGATTTGCTTTAACTTTTACTTTTTTTAAGGACATCCTGAATCGAGTATATATTGTATAATAAATTATAATTATATTCCAAAATCTACCATGTATCTTTTATATAATGTAATTTTCGTTTTTCTCAGGGCGGTCTAATTATTACCTTAAGGTCCGGTTTGATCTCAGTCTGTGGATCGTCGCTGCTCTCAAACACCAGAGTTATCACAGCAGCTCATTGCTGGTTCGATGGCAGGAACGTAGCTGATAATGTTCTTGTAGTTTTGAGTTCACTTAGACTTTTCACTGGCGGCATTAGGATTCCCACTAGTCATGCTGAGGTTAGTTAAATATATACTAATCATATTATTTTTTGGACTTGCAATGTTGGCACTTTTTTCTTCCATAGTCCGTATTAACCGGACTTTTATCTTTTGAAGGGACTATGTTACAAATCCAAGCGATTAATCTCCAAGGTTAACAAAAAAAAGTAGTTTCTTAGAACCTAAAGAAACCTACTAACTCTTTTTCCACGTAACAACTTTATTTGTATTAACAAAATCCTACAAAGCCAACTGCGAACCTTGTTCGACTTGCTTTTTTCATAATTATGTTTTTCTTCACCGTTAGAGAGAGGTAATGCTAATCAACATTAACGTAGCTTTATTATAGTCATAAAGACATTTTTTTTTGGACTATCACAGCATTAATAAGTGTTAATTTGTCATAGATATACCCCGGCTACAATCCCCTTAACCTGAACAATAATATCGCTGTATTGACGATTCCATATATTGCATATACAAGTAAGTATATTTCATTTTCGCAATTAAGTGTATATATAAACATTATTAATATAACGTTTCATTGACATAATTTTATTTCATATAAACTTATTTAATATAATTTAATACATTTCAGATTATATCGAATGCGTGATATGAACTTACGTTCTATAATTTAATTTTCACTTAACGTCTGTTGTTCGCAATATCCTTAATACTACAGACCAACCGCTTAACTGAGTCAGTTTCTGAGGTAGCTGGGCGGTGCGGGAGGAGTGACAGTTTACGTAACGGTTATGTCGCGCTGCACACGGGATCATTTCAACAAGATTTTTCTGACGACAATATTAAATGCTCACCACCAACATCGGCCAAATAGTCGCTGCGAGATTGTGGCAAAGCATTGGTCTAATCGCTTCACGTTTAAAAAAAATAATGATAAATTGTTTACTCACGAAATTACTGTAGCCAAGTACACTACTATTCTTTTTCAGTGCACATCAGAAGCATCCCACTGCCATCGGGTCCTGAGCTAAACAACCATTTCAACGGCGCCGTTGCCACAATACCTGGATATGGACGCCAAACTGATCGTAAGTTAATAAAAACTAAGTAAGTTACATATTTAGTATCAGTAGACATCCTTAAGAAGAGTTTGTCCGTGTAAGTACTGCCACCTACCAAACAGTAATGTTAATTTCTCTCAAATAGATTTTAATAACTGACTGACTGCAACAATATGAAGAGGTTTTCGACTGTATTTTTTGTATGTATGTGACGCAATTACTACGACAACTTGTCAACTGATTTCGCTGAATATGTTGGAAAGGAGATGCCTCAGAGAGGATCTCAAATTTGAAGAAAATAGTTTACCTCGAAGGGTGAAAATGTAGGGGTTAAAACCGATTTATTGAATTTCACTCACTTTCCGTTAACCGATTTCAATAAAATTTGCCATATACATGTAATTCCAATGAAAATAAAATGTCATGGTAACCATAGCAGTATCACCAGAGCAAGAGCTGATCTGAAGATGGAAATGTTAGATAGAAGAGAGGAACTCCTCAACAATGTAAAGCAGCTACCTTGAGCCCAAGCATGTAATTACGATTCATTTTCACGAAGACTTCCATATGCGTATCAGATACTGTTCTGTCTGTAATCCACCGCCTTAGGGAACTTAGGCATATGATGTGTGAGCGCCATTTCACCGCTATGACAAAAATGTTTTTTTTTTCTGTCGTATTCAATCTGTATTTGTGTCATACTAGTGAACAAAGTGTTTATCTATCTATCTTATTGTTGAGGAGACCAACACAAATCGGATAAGTGAATTTTCGGGATCGGTTTTTTTTATAATAAGGTTATAATTATTTTCGTTATCAATATGTTACAAATGTGGTTCACATAGTTACCAAATAAACTATTTTTCTTAATTTCTTTCTAATATTTTCTTCCAGTTGCTGGTATTTCAATGGATCAACGACTACATCGCGTAGAACTCAACGTGATTTCCAATGACGTCTGCCAAACATTTTTCTCACCGTCAATTGTGGTGGCCTCAACGCTCTGCACCCAAAACATCGGCAGGGGCATATGTGATGGCGATTCTGGTGGTCCACTGGTCACTAGAAATATGCTGGTAAGACACTACTCAGACTAAGACCCTACTCATGATCTTGATGAATGTTGGTCAATAAAGCGGAAACTCATTGTTTTATTTTTGGGCTAGATTGATCATAATCGATCGCGTCTTGCAATTTATCAAATGCAATTAAAATCGAACCGGTTTTCTGGATTTTGGATTACTTACTTCTGGATCTTGGCTTCCGACACCAAAGTACGCCATTTAACTGCCTCTGTGGCCGACCGGTGACCATGCCGGAGTGCCGCGCAGAGGTCCCAGGTTCGATTCCCGGATGTCTCTCGTGAGTTTGGGTGTTATTTGTGGTTGTCTATATGTATATCCATGGCACCCGCGACATAGGGTTTCCGTAGTGCGGGATTATGTTGAGTGTGTGCGTTGTTATTATTTCTGTCGATCTTATGCCAATTTCGACCAGTCGGATACATTCAGCTCCTTTAGATCTTTTGTGACTCCATCCTTCCAGCGATATCTTGGACGGCCCACTAGACGATAACCCGTAGGTCGCCCAAATACGTTCTTTTGACAGCTCAATTCTTTCCCATTCATTCCACATATCCTAGCCAGTGGAGTCGGGCAGATTTTAGTTCCCCAATTATGTTTATGTATTTATTTCTGATTCTGAAGTTTAAATTAGTGTATAGATTATATTTGGGATTACTGTGTAATCTTTCTGTTTTTAGATCGGTGTTGCATCCTTCATCCCTGCTGCAGGTTGTGAGCGCAATTTACCCGTCGGTTTCAGCAGAGTGACCAGCTTCGCAGCTTGGATAAACTCGCGTCTTTAAAATGTCTGGTTTTTTCCTTTGGCTAATGATTAAAAAACTTTACATAAATAACTAAATAGCAATGAAATTATATAGTTAATGGCGCGTCGACAGAATCGGCCGAATGCTATCTCGTTTTCTATCGAGTTGCAATTGACTTCTAAACGACAATTCATTCGAGTTCAATGATTTCTAAACGCATATTGACGCAATACAGGACATTGGTAGAACAAGCCTGCGCTTATAATTATCTTCAAAAATCCAAATATACAATCCATATGTACAATTGGTTCTTGCAAGTCTGCATCGAGCAAAGAGACGAAAGTGAGGTTTGTGAAATTGCGTCATTTTTTTAAATTTTATAGAATGCCATCATTTGCATGTAGAAAAATGGACTAATTTCCATGTTTAAGTAAATAAAACCCAAGGAATCACACACCATGTGCAAGTTAGCAAAAATTTACATTATTGCTATATTTTAATTATTTTTCTGTTTATTCTGATAAATAACAGTTGCTAATCAAAGGTAGAGATAGTAAATTATTTCTGTAGTGTGTCTGATAAGGAACATGCACTACGGTCATAGATTATGACTAGATGTTAACATTGTAGGCAGTAAAGTCATCAATTATTCTGTTATACGTTTTCCTATTATAGATTATTAATTACAAACTAATATATTGCCTTAAAAGTCGCATTGTTCTAAGGTAGATAATGCTATTAGAATTGTAAATATTTCTAACGTTTGTTAAATTTACAAAATAAATTTGTTTTATTCCATTATATTGTACTTTGTACCTACTTTTCAAAATATTCATTCAAATGTGCCTTGTGACAAGAAGAGCTTTTGTGTGAGTTACTAGAAAAGGGAAAAAGGGTGGCCGCAAAAAACCGAAAACACAAATCTGCAACAAGCACTTAAAAAAACTTCGTGAACTGCTGGTTCGTTTCGTAGCTCAGTTGGGAGAGCGTCAGACACGGTACGATGAAGGTGTTGGTTTGAATCCAACCGGATCGATAGAATTTTTCTAGTGTTCGATTATATTTATAATTATAACAAATATATAAATAAATAGAGTTAACTGCATGTATTTTAAAATACGTTGTAACATAAAAAAAATATTACGTTGGGAGGGCTTTGTTAGTATCGAACTTGCGCTCTAGCATGGCAAATGTTGTAGTAATATGGCTATTAAGGCAAATACAATCTCCGCAACAAAATATACTCATACATCACGCCGTCATTATTCACCATTATCGCAACATAATCCGTCTTGAGGAAACTTTACAAAATCTCCCAAATCTTCCTTCTATTAAGAAGTTATCTAATGAAATGTACGTTTGTTGTCATTTAAATGAAAAATATGAGTGAAAATTTGTGGAGGAATTTGTATGTTTTGGAAAATGCTTTGTTTACAAAAGGAATACAATACTAATCGCGATTTCCAGTAATTTATCTCAAAGTGATAAGCGTTTGGCACTCTGGGCGTTAGATAAAGAAGTCTCGAACTTGGTTTCCGATACCAATTTAGGATTATTTTCTGGCCCTGCTTTTAATAGTTAATTCAAAGTTATGATTAGAAATATATTTAAACGTTCTTGAGATACAGATTTTTATTATGATTTTCTAGTAAATTGTGATTTTTTATAACTCTGTATCAAAACAAATTCATTTATATACCTGCATAAAGACGTCAAAGTCAATATAGTTTTTTTTTATAATATCAAGTGACGGGATACCTAGGGTTACTACTAGGGTTACTAGGGATACTAGGTAAGCAATTACACTTGGAATCGTTACATTGATTAAACCTCTACTGCTCATTCGAAAAGCAGATTCCCCTGAGAACCTCACAGGCCTCTCTTTGTAAATAAACATTTATTTCAAATATCATAATCGAAACAACTAATTTGTAAAGCTAATCGGGTCATAACCACGTATTTAAATCAAATCGAATAAAAAAAAAATATTTCGGACTTTGTCCATATTTTTTTTTTTAATATATAATAGACACACGCTTGGCCACAATCTCACCTGATGTTAAGCGACGACGTGACCGACGACGGGACACCACGTGGGGATATCACGTGAGTTACAGAAAACTTATAGCCTATGTTAGCAAAATTCGTTGTCAGAGAAAAAAAATACATTAGGATATACACTAACCCTCTGGAAGCCACATGTATGCAGTTCCAGTGCCTAAATGTAACACAGATCTGATACTCCCAGAACAACCAAATGAAGCTGTTGGAATCGTCACTCACACGCTGCATCAGAGAGGCAGTTCTCTTGCGTATTATGGCACTGAAGTTATCAATACGCGGCTTCGAGAACATACCTGGTGCAATGCAAAAGCGTGGCAGTCCCGACAACATCGTAAATCCTTATTGTATTGGACACACAGGGCGTTGAAATATTTTCAAATGACTTACATAGTATCTCACTGGCCTAGGCGAATGTATCCTCTATATCTTTTCATTTCTCTCTATTGATATTGACGTCATCACGCTACCTATATCTGGGTTTATCTCGACGTTTATTCCCAGCATTTGGTATCCAGTGCGTGAAAATTTCAATACACCAGTCAGCGTAAGAGGTATGTCAAAAAAAAGCAATTTCCCGTTCAGACGTCAAACTTTCTCACTGCAATGCTGTTAGTCTGCACTTGACAGCTGTAAGCAACGTGCTACGCCTGCTGATACATCCAAATGTAGCCAATATCAATCTACGTTTATTTTTTTTAAATATGAAACTCTACTTTTTATGTTACTAAATGTCGGAACCAACCAGTCGTGTGCTTGGTGGTAAGTGACACGCCCTGTCCACGTGTGCCATTCAGGGCTTTCTATCACAAAGATCTGAGGAGCACTGCGCCCGTCATCCTGAGACATAAATTAATAAGTTTTACGTGCCTGTAATTTCACTCTTACCCTTCAAAACCGAAACGCAGTAAAGGTCACATTACTGTTTGGTGGTAGAAATAGGTAAGGTAAGGCAGTACTTCCCTGGATGAACTATTTCATAAAGAGATCTCTTGCTAAAAACTTATACAGCAGGTGTTAAAAAAAAAAAAAGGTGTTACCACTATCAAGTGGAAACATCTGTGTATACGAACAAAACCCCGGCACTCAGCTAGTTAAGCATAGATTTCCTTCACTTTTATTCATAAAGGCAACAATGGATCGAGTCATGAATATGCGATGCCTTTGTCAACGGTTTAGGCTCGTAAATAAATGGGCTCTTAAGGGAGAGTCTTTTCAGTTTGATACAGAAATCATTTCCTAAACAACGTGTGATGGGTTTACTAAAATCATTTTTGATTACAATGTCCGCTTTAGGTTTTGCACGAGTCGCCTAAAATTCCGAATGTTACTCAGATAGGTCATGTTGTGACGTGACTGGTTTATTCAATGCTAAGCAAAGATCAAATTAATTTGGTTTATTCATATACGTCACGTTTCATGTTTGAGGACGCACTAATCGACGATCAGCCATATTCATTCTACAATTTGGAGCTATTCAGGGCTAGAATGAATATGTATTTTTTGGACAAATATCTTGGCTACGTTTTAACATTTAACTTCTATGTCTCGTTAAAAAAAGATTGTTTTAAAATTATTAAAAATTCACTTTTGAAATAAAATATAATACGAGGCAAAATAAAAATTTGTTTTTAAAGAGCACAAAATTATTAATATAGTGTCGCCCATGAAACCAAAATGTCGCAACTCAAAATTGGGGAACTGAATAAACAAATTTGGAAAATTAAAAACAATAATGTGATTATTTTTATTTAAACATAATTATCCATTTATAAATATATTTAGTTTCATTACGTAATTTTTTGTTTTCAAATCGTTCTATCTTAATTCCACAATTTTGAGTTACGACAGTGTGTGATTTCGTGTGCGATGTGTAATTTTAGTGGCTCTAGTTTGGCATACATACGCAGGTTTGGGTCCTGTCAGATCTAAGGAATTTTTCTTTGTGTTCAATCTTTGTATTAATAATTATAACAAGCTGATGGAGTAATTGCATAAAAAAATATCATGATTGTTGATTTTGATATTATTGATCTTATTAAATAACATGGTTAAAACATCATGAAATTCAATAAATCAATAATACTAAAACAAATCAATTTTTCCCAGTACATCAAATATCCAACATGGACATAATTATGGTAATGACGTTTAGTATTTTTTACTGAGCCCTAAGCTTGACAAATTCATTCCATGTGTCTGTAATACAACCAGCACCCTTACCCTTCAAAACCGGAACATAGCAATGCTGACATCACTGTTTGGCAGCAAAAATAGGTAAAGTGACAGTACTTATACCTAGATGAACTCTTTCACAAGGACTTTCTACTGCAAATAAATACCAGCTTTCAAATTCTATTAATAGTTTTCGATTAGTCAAGTGGCTCGGAATATATGTCCGGAAGTATATCACAACGTAATATTATTACACGGATAGTATTATCTGTGTAAAAGTACAGTACCAAAGAGATTATGTCATAAAATTGAGCATACAATAGTCATTTTCAAAAAAAAAACCCCAGCTAATTCCTATAGTTAAAAATTGTGTTGTAAAAACATTGACTTACAATTATATGGACGTCGGGTCCGCGCTAAAAAGTGTCCAAACTTATAGGGCGTTAAAATCGTATACAGAGCGTCATTCACGCTTTAGTCTTCGTTTGTTCGACTGACAGCGAAGCAAGCAAAATTAGACATTACTGCGATGACATTACAATTTAAATTCAGCGTTTTAGCTTTTTCGTATTCCTTTACATGTCACTACGTTTAAATAGGTTGACTTGGGACATTTTTTTCGTGGTTTTTGTATTAGACCGATCGTCCATTTATTTGTAAGTCAATGTGTAAAAAGTACAATAGCTGCGTACGAAACTTAAATGCCATTCTTACCTTATCTACAAACACGAATGGAAAGCTTTATCTATACAACACATATGTTTAATGCTTATGAGACATAGCATCAGTAAAGGCGACCGTCAACCGCAAGTGTTAGCTATACGATATTGGTGTAATTATTTCAAATACCTGCGGTTTCATGCATATTGGCTCGTGTGGTGAGCTGCAATAATTTCTAAGGTATTCGCTTGTATGTCAAGGGACATCTGGGCAATAATGTTTCTTGGGCGCATTTATATTTGTCTGACGTGTCGTGTCGTGTCTCGTCAGAACGGTATCGGTTTCATATATTTAATATGGTTAATATTAATGCGTCGCAATATGTTGTGATGGTTTGTGATCTGCGTCAGATCCCGGCGAAGTAGTCGAGTCATGCCAGATCAGACACGCGCCAGCGCTGTGTTGTGACGCGTCAGATATTGGGAACTTATGAAATTTCTGAGAACCTCGACGCGACGCAACTGTACAAAATATTGTCAGAAGGTGACTGAACACGACATATAGATGTGAACGCTAACCATCACATCTGAGCGCATCACGACACGATACGTCCGACAAATATAAATCCACCTTAAGTCTCATCCTCGGTTTACTTCTTATTTACTACAACTCCAAATAGGTCTTGATTTTGGCAACTACAGTCATGGCATATTTATAATTTATGTAAAGAAGAATACCGATTATTTCATAAAAAGCAGTGATATATATAACCGTAATGGG